ATCAAGAGGTATAGGTTTTTGACTTTACTACGGAGAGATTTTCCATCTGGACTTAGGATCTGGTGCTTGTAATAAGGAAATTTGGAAGAATTGTGGCTTAGCACGACGCAAGGAAGATTGGATTAGGCTCTTGAAAGAGAGTTCTTGAAAGAGATGTAATCATCCGGATTACGAGTGCGTCTGAAGTGCCTTCTAGCTGTCCCTCTTTTCTTCATCAGCTTTTTGATTTCAGGATTAATCCAGAGAGCTTCAGGATATCTGAAGGTAGAAGTCTTTAGGGGTGTGCGTTGTTTCAGGAATAGGAAAAGATTGGAGGAAAGACATTCCATCATTTCATTAATGGAGGAATAAGAGTAAGTGGGATCTAAGGATTGGGCAAAATTCATGTTCAGTGTGCATTTTTTTTTTAAATTATTTTTTATTAAGGACAATCAAATATGGAATCTACAAATACAGCACTCTTTTGTTGAATGTTGAACTGTATTTCCGAATCGGCTTCTCCCACAGATTTTATTCTCATATGAAAAATGGCATACCTTGTAATATACAATGACAACGGTGAGGAAGCTATACTGACCTTACTTGGCAGACGTTTTTTTTTATTTTGAAACTACTACCTGACTAGTTTAAAAGTAGTGTTATTTAATTGATCGGGCATTGATCGATAACCTGGATGTTCTTCAAACAGAGAGACAAACGAGCAACCAACTTCATTTATCTCAGTGCAATCTTAATAATTTATTAAATCATGTGTATTTCTCAAATCTAAAACAGGTTTAAACAAGTAACAAAAAAAATCTGGTGCGGGCAACACATAACTTTCACTTACCCCTCTACTTTCAATAAAAATTATTTTCTGGCAATGTTGGGGTATTTAAAAAATTTCGAAGTGCATTTTAAACGGAGCTAAAGCTTAAAGCTTACAGATAACAAATCTTTAAGACCATTAAAATTACAAAAAGTCTATTTATTATATCGACGGTAGCCAATAAAAATCTAGTTTTATAAACCACATCACTTCAGTCTCTGAGCCTTTCAGTTGACATAATGAATAACTATAATCTCAAGATTTTTCAGTAATGTCGTTTTAGTGATATTTCTAGTTGGAAAAGTTATATCTATACAGACAGTGAGCAAGTTGATTGCATTGTTGAAATATAGACCTATGAATAAAGGTATAAAGTTTGCCAATAGAAACCTCACTAAAATTAATAATAAAGAACGTTGAAATTGGAGTTAGTCGTTCTGACAACCGAAAGGTTCATATATGCCTAGGGAGATTTGAAAGTACATCTGAATATTTAACATTCAACGAAAAGAAGCTGGGAAAAAAGTTACGAGGGATGGTAAAATTAAATTCCGAATAACTCAAAAAGTATACACTTTTTTGTCGATGTTGCGATAAGATGTTTGAAAGGTATTTAAATTTCCTAAAAAATTAATGGAGTTTCATCGAAATCAAAGCACTATTAGTAGAGATATCGCGAATTCAAAAACTTAAGCCCCTCTTAAAATTTGAGGTTTCAAGTTTCAGGATACGTGGAATTCGAAACCCGAATAAAAATTTTTTTGTCTGTCCGCTGTCCGCCATTCGCCTTATGGATATAATAATTTTTTAAAAGTTTACGGGATTTCCCATAAACTTGTTTATTTTCTCTCATAGAACTGTTTCCTTTAAAAAATCCTTTGTCATGCGTACTACTTTTTTTTTTTTTTTAACTCCTTTGCTATCTCCATACGCAAATCCTGTTCCTTAACCTCATTTAAACATTTATTCTTCCACCTCCTCAGCATTCAATCTTCGGAATATTTTAAAGAATTAAAACACCTCTAATGAGAACAAATATGTGAACACACTCATATATATTTATGTACAATTTAATATATTTACTTGTGCTTTGTTTATTTATTTTTTTAAGGTTAGATTATTATGTTCATTAATTTCGTAATTTTCTTATAATGGCAGACAAATGTCACTTTTCTGTTCATTATAATTATTCTTAGGGGACTAAATATCCCAGAATAAAATTTACTTTTCTTTCTTAAATATTTATTCACTTTCACTTTATTTTACCATTTTTTTCTATACTATTAAATTGGGTGTACTTATTACAGTTAAAAACTAGTATGCTCAATCCAAGGCATTCCTTGTCCACCCACCTTCCTTCCACCTCCAAAAAAAATCTTTATGCTATTTTATATCAATCAACATTGAAATTTTATTTCATTCAATATCTTTCCAATTCAGATTTTCTATTAAAGTTATATTTTTGCATGCAACACATTTCAAACTTATTATCTTTCCAATTCACAATCATATATTTCATACTAATCAAACTATTTTGGATTTTATTTCCACGAACTAGAAACATTCTCTCCATTAGACTTTCACAACACCAATTTTATTCATTAAATAAACTAAAAACAGTTAAATAAAATCAATGAAGCCGAGTAAAAACCTACAAAAATCTGAATGTTGAACACATCAAGCCTTTCTTTATTCTGAGGCAGAGGCAGGTTTTACCAGAATGGGTGTTAATTTAATTTCTTTTTCTGTTGTAGATCTTTGGCAGCAAAATATGATCTAATAGAAGTATGTTGCTTGTGGGAGCACAGATAGCCTGGAGGGAGTCATCCAACTGCATGTTGCTATGGACCATGGTCTATATTATATGGTGCAGTGGCAGGCCACCCATAGCTCCATAGGCAATCCCTTTGAGGTCAATCTGACTGTGTCCTTCTTAAGGATACTCATGTTCAAGAACAGTGACAAAGTATCCATGTATTATGTTAATTTAATTATTGATCGAAATAAAGTTAACATCTTAATGTTATTATTAAGATTTTAACTAATTATTAATAAAAGAGTAATTATTTAATAAAAAGAAAAATTAAATATAAAAAAAAAAACTAAACATATTACTGCTGCTGTATGGGAGGTTCCAAATTATTTACATTTCATTAACCCTCTAGATGAACAAAGCCAATTTAGTGGCTCTGGAAAGACCATGCAGCTGGCACATGGAGCCCATATATTAGCTTCAGCTCTTTATCATTTAGTTGGGCAAAACCAATATTCTGGCTCGGTACACAGCTCTCTACTGAGAACCCCATGAGTCATAGGTTGTAGCTGGAACCACTAGATAGCATGAGATGTATTATTTCGTCACAAGTACCCTTTAGGGTGAGGGCTGTGACCTCATTCCTGCCTATACTTGCTGCTTTCACCCCTATTTTACCTTTCACTAGTCTTTTGAAAATAGTTTAACTCTAAAACTAACACCAGTTGGTAGTATTTTGAAGCATGAAAGTTGAAAATGAGTTTTATTTTATTTTATTTTTTGAAAGTATATATTTTTCTTCAATTGAAGTATATGTAATAAAATTTACCATACAATGAAACGTTTTTAAAAATTTTCCATATCAGCAATTGGTTAACAATAAAAAAGGTTAATAAAAAAATAATGACAATATCCATATCAACAAAAAAATTAGAATATATCAAAAAATAATGTAAATGTTGCAGTATAATGTTAAAGTAATGTAAGACAATTAATAAATAATAAAATTAAAAGAAAGTTTAAAATAAAAAAAAATATATTTAACTATTTATTGAAATATGAGGCAACATAATATTAAAGAAAAATGTATAAGTCAGTTATAAGCTATTTTAATGTGTAAAAGTGCAAAAAGAAACGGGAGCAATTCAGTGAATAAATCCCCACGCACAGAGGGTTGGCTAGAGCTAGAGTACCCCAGGTACATGGCGCCTGACCTTGATTGAGGCTCCATGCAACTAAAAGGTTAATGGGTTAGTAATGAATTTGGCGGAACTTATAAAAACTGATGTAAATGTACAAATTTTGAGATTCCCATCGAGGAACTGGACTTACAGCTGGATGAGTATCTTCAGGAATCTCTGCTGCCTCTTTCTGGGCCACTTTTTGATGTTGGGCTCGCTAGACATTATCTTTTCTTTGTGCTAGCTCATGGAGCCCATTATCATGTTCAGCTGCACTTTGACCTCTGTCTAGATCCCTAGGTTATGAATCAAGTTCATATCTGTTGTTGTATCATGCTGATAGATGGCTCTGCGTCCATGACAGGCAATAGATGATTTGGTATGTATAATAATAAATATAAATGCATAAACAAAGTTTTTATTTAAACAAAACTTTTTATTAAAGTGTAGGTTATTAGTGAAAATATTGAGATTCACCTCAAGTAGTGTAAAAAAATTACATGATTTTATGTCTAGTTGCCTAAAAGTACCCAAGTTTTCACCAAAAATGGCTATAATATATTACTGTAAAGTTTAAATTTTTTGTTTTTCCGTGATCTGGGACATATTATAAGAAACATAATTTCCTAAAGACACTTATGATTTAAACAAAAAACAAATCACTTTTTTAATATTTATCATCTAAAGTGATAATGAAAACAGATATTTTTAGGGTACAGGAAATAAAATCACATAATTTTTTTATACAGCAAGAGATGAATTTCAACTTTTTCCCTAATAAACCTCAACTTAATTAATATGGACTTAAAGCTTATTAAACGAGGTTTTTTTTTTCTAAAAGTGGGGTATCTATAATATAGTAGGTGAATGATAAAAAAGAAATTTGAATAATTTACAATTTTTTTTTTAAACAGAACTGAGCTTAACTTGGATCGTATGACTGGGAAAAGCCATTATGGGTTTAACGTTGAATGGTATGAGGCAGCTTGCCCTTAATTGAGAGGATTTGTAAACCTAGCTGCATCCCAAATACAAAAGGCATTAAAAGTGAAAGACAGAGAAGAAGAATCGAGTGAAAAAAAAAAAATAACTAAAATAAATACTTTATTAAAACAAAATACAAAAATATGTATCTTTATTAAAAAATGTGTCACAGAATTAAGATTTATTCTTATTATACATGTTTCTTATCAACATTTTTCTTTAAATAATGAAATCCACAAAACTAAAACAAATACAGATAATCATTAAATAGTGACAGAATTTCAATGAAATTATTCCTAAATATATTTTAATCTCTAAATTTACAAACATGTTTGTTTTAACAAAGATTAGAAACTTATTTAGGAAGCAAATAAGTCAAAAATTCTTAGATTTATAGGATGTATTTACTAACTTAGAAAATATATTTTTAATTAAATGCACTAAATATCTAGTCTTTTCTTAAATCACAGAATATTAAGAATTCACCATGATGTACACAAAAATTTATGAAACTAAATTAAAACAAGAAATCAAAATTGCTAAAATTATTTCCAAGATTAATTATGTCCTCATGCTCCTTATCATGATTTGGATATTTTAAGTTAATTCCATCCCACGAAGAATTTCGCAGACCCAATTCTAATACGAAAATATCTAAATCAGTCTCATTTAAGAAAATATCCTCCTTTACTGGTGTCTGAAAAGTTACTATATCGTCCTCTCTTTCCAATATTATACCTAAACAAACAGATTAAATAAATAATGTAACATTAACGACAGTCATTTTTCAGATTAAAAAAATGTATATGATAATGATACATGAAATAAATTGTTTAAACTGGGTGATTTTATTTCACTTATTTACTTTTATTCTCATACAGAAATTTGTTTTTGTTTTTTTTGTTACTGAAGTTTATACTCATATTTCAAAAATTAAACATGTGTAACTTATAATAATTCAGAAATTATGTTATATCATCAAATAAAATAAATGAAAATAAATGTTTACACATGCTCTATTATTTTATTAATTTAATGCTGATTACTCATTAAATAACCAATTATGTAATATGGCTGTATAAAGGTATAGAGCATATATGAATAATGTAATAATAAGTCAAATAATAGAATATAATGGGAAAATGAAACTAATTAATTTTGTTATTAGCCATCTTAACAACTTTAAGAGGCCCATTTAATTAACCCACTCCGCCTCTCCCATGTCAATCATTTCAATTTTAGATACAGTGTGTAAGTTTTTAGTACATTCCAAAGATACAAGCCAATCGAGTTATTTCATGACAAAGAAACCATAAGAATTTTTTTACTTAAACTTTACTTATTGCTTCCTCGTTACCCATCAAGTACAGTGACAAAAACAAGACTTTTCATCTTTATAGATTATAAAAAACACAAGGAATAGTTGGAAAATGATCATGGAAAGTGTATATTCACAAGTGTTCTTGTTAGCTAAGAAAACTCCCATTTTTGTGATTACTGAGATCACTATTTAACAGTAGTGAAAGAAGAAAATGGATATACATATTTTAGGATATATGTATGTTAACATAATTATTTTAATTGGAAATCAGGTCAGTAAATTATAATTCAATAAATTAAAAATTATTCATTGATCCTGGTGTTTATTCGATGTTTCGATCTAATTTTTTTTCTTATGCTAACAATGGGAAACTTCTTAGTGTTTTAAGATAGAGCATTGATACATCAATTGATACATTGATATAAGCCAGGAACATGTTGATAGCCTCAGCACCGTCTACCAGCACAGATATTAAGCTAACACTTAAGTATTATTATATCCAAATCCATAACTATGCTTAAACAATTCCATGATACTATTCCAAAAAAAAAACAAAAAAAAAAAAAAACAGACAGCTCCTTTAAACATCCCTTGTTTTCCCCCACTTTGACTAGGGTTGCTTGTTGTGTGAAGGGCTGTCCACAAGATTAAAGGCGAGACTGAAGAGACTCATGAATTGCTTCATAAGATTCATCTTTGGGATTCTCCAGCGTTCCTAATTGTACACCTAGTTGAAGTGGCTATATCCTGCTTCCTGACAGCAGTTCCTTCTTGGTGTTTCCTTTTCCAAGTCCTCAGATCCAAAAATCCTCCCTACATCCTACAACTCCTTACTATATGTCGTTTATCCACTCTCTTAATACCATATCTCTACATATCCCTTTCCATATAACCGGATAACCAGAAGATAAAGAATCGAGACCCGTTGTCTGAGATCTTTAACTCTGACATTAGTTCCTCTCACTCTCCTGGCCAAGGAAAAGCCCAATATAGCAAAAAAAAGATAAGGTAGAAAAGAAAAAAAAGGCAGTTTGGGCTTGATTCTGACTCCAGGATCAATCCAAAACTAATATAACACCATAAATAATTACCTAACTCAGCCTAATTTGAACCAGGGATCTTGGATTTATATATATTGTAATGTCAACATTACATGGCATTTGGATAGTGGCGCAAAGGTGGTGATGGTGCGAACTATGGGAAGGAAGTGGGGGAAGCAAGCCTCATGTAACTCAGAATGTGACAAGCTGTCAAGAGGGAAGGAGACGAGCTGCCAAGTGAGAAGGTGCCAGCCAGCAAGTTGAGAAAATAGAAAAAGGAGTCCTAGCCGGTTCGAGTGTTGATAGAGGCCACTAGTGAAGATTATTTTATGTTGGAAGAAAACAACATAGCAGAAAACAATTAAGTGGTACAGAAAACGGGACATTCGTAAGTAAGAAGAGATTATTTCGCTGGCAGGCGTAAACATTTGGGTGAGTGCTAACAATGCCATTTATGTTGACAGAGGGATAGAACCAAAAGTTTAGACCGGGACAAATTAGTTTATAAAATATTTTAAATTATAAATAAGTGTAGTTAGTAATTAGTAAATTAGTGTACATTGTATTTATTAAATGTGAATAAGTGTTCAGTTGTCAGAACCCAACCTGAGAATTGATGTTATGTGTTGAAATAAATAATACATTGAAAAAGTAAACTCGTTGTTTGATTTATGTTGACAACGGGAACGTTACAATATATAAATCTATCAGTAGTCATTTGATATTTCGAGGTGTATTTAATGTAAAGTGTATTTATTTTGTTTAGCACAGTGAAGTGTCACTTGGAAACATCAAGAAAATTGCCTCGGACAGTCTAAACGGTATCGACCCAGCGTTCTCAAGGAATTCAAGTTGGTGACATGGAATGTTCGTACCTTGTATAGAGCTGGAGCATTAAAATTGCTCCTGGATGAATTTTTTAAATATAAGATGAGCATCACTATACTACAACAAATAAGAGGGTTAGGCTCTGGAATCATGGAAAAGACAGATCATACCATCTATTATAGTTGCCACCGTAATCAACATGTCTTTGGGGTAGGTTTTGTGGTTAGCGGTAATATGAGGGAGCGTGTCATGGATTTCAAGGCGGTTAACCATCGGTTATGCATGCTGAGAATTAGGGGCAGATTTAGAAATTACTCTTTGGTTTCGGTTCATGCACCAACTGAGGTAGCAGACGAGCTGGTTAAAGATGAATTCTATTATGACTTAGAACGGGTGCTTGCAGAATGCCCACTCCATGATGTGAAGATAGTTCTGGGTGACCTTAATGCACAGGTCGGAAGAGAGCCCGCTCTTTTGCCAATTGTAGGAAGACATCGTCTACATCCAAAATCTAATGATAATGGTTCAAGGCTGGTTCATTTCGCTACATCCCAAGATATGGTTGTTGGTAGCACTATGTTTCACTGTAAAAACATCTATAAAGCCACATGGGTTACCCCAGACAACACTAGTACCCAAATTGACCATATTCTGGTTAGTCAGAATGGAAGATGAAGATGGAATCAAGGCATATTTTCCATCAAACAAACTGCATAAGAGGTTTTGGGTATGAAGGAAGCCCACCAAAGATCTAAATGGTTTGACTCGCAGGGCCAGGCAGCGACAAGACAGGAAAAACGAAGCTTATAGGAGAATGATAAAAAGGCACAGAACTCGCCAAGCAGTTAAGGAATATAAAGACAGAAGGCGAGAAGAAAAATGCATTCATAGAAGGAAAAGGAGGGAAAAAGAACAATAAAAAATAAAGGAAATTGAAGAACAAAGGAGTCAAGTGGATGTAAGAGTCTTCTACAAGAGTGTGAATGCCCAGCGTAAAGAATTTAAGCCTATATCCAATGCTTGAAGAGGAGAGGATAGATCATTAATTACAAGCAAAGATACCATTCTTGACAAATGGGTCACCCACTTTGGAAGTATTTTGGGAACCTCTCAGGACCCTATGGTTAATAGTATAATTCTTGTGCTATCCAATGGCTTTAAGTTAACCGATCCACCAGACGACAAGGAAATCTATGACTCCATCCAAAAATTTAAGAACAACAGAGCCCTAGGATTTCATAACATAGCTGCAGAACTTCTGAAGGCTGGAGGGAATGAACTAATCAAAGTTATCCATGGCACACCGGCATCATCATCCCTCTCATAAAAAGGGAGACCAAACCAACTGCAACAATTACTGTTATTGTGGCATAACTCTCCTCAATTGCACATATAAAGTGTTATCTAACATCATCTATCAGAGGCTACTTCCGCATGCAGAAAGAGGGGTGGGAATCTACCAATGTGGTTTCGTGAGAGGGACATATATCACTGATCAAATCTTTGCCTTGAGAACCCTGCTTGAAAGAACAAGGGGCTATAGTATCATCACACACTACCTTTTCGTAGATTTTAACAGGGCATATGACAGTGTCATCAGAGAGAGGTTGTACCAGGCTACAGAAACTATGAATATTACCCTTGAATTGATTCATCTTACAGAGCTGCTGATGATAGGATCAAGGTGTCAAGTCAGAACACAGGGAGACCTGTCAGAGGCATTCACGACCACAAGGGACCTAAGACAAGCAGATGGCTTCTCATGCCTGCTCTTTAATCTTGCACTAGAAAAGGTGATAAGGGACTCCGAAGTGCAAAGAAGTGGGACGATTCTCACCAAGTCAGTACAAATTCTAGCCTACGCAGATGACATAGATAATATAGCCAGATCACAGAGGGACTTAGAAAGGACCTTCTTAGCTATTGAGGCAGCAGGGCAGGTAATGGGAGTATTAACCAAGCTAAGAACAAATATATGACTGCCAACTAGCCAAGGCCACCACCACCTACAATTACATTTGGAGGATACACATTTGAAAGCATAATTAATTTTGTGTATCCAGGGTCCTTAGTTTGTGCAGCAAATATGCCTAGCCAAGAAGTGCAGAGAAGAATTACGTCAGCTAATAGGTGTTATTTTGGCCTGGCTAAAATATTAAGAAGTCATTTGCTGGCTAGATCCACAAAGATCGCTCTGTACAAATCTCTTATTAGACCTATACTGACATATGGCAATTATCACAAACAGACGCCATCAGGTTGCAGGTTTTTGAGAGAAAAATCCTGAGAAAAATGTTTGGCCCTGTAAAAGTTTAAATTTAGTATAAGCTAAGGCATAATGTAGAATTGTATCAAATTTACTAGAAACTGCATGTGGTACAATTTATACAGCTCTCTAGGCTAAGATGGGCTGGACACGTCACAAGGATGGATGGGGGCTCGCCATTCAAGCGGCTACAGTTCAGGTATGTGGATAGCAGAAGAAAGCAAGGACGGCCATGACTGAGATGGGCAACACTAGAGCTTGGCAGACGTTTGCACAAGACAAAGAGGAATGGAGGAGATGTATTGCCTATGATGATGATGATGAAGTGTCACTTGTGAATTAAATATAATACATAAAAGTAAAGATTATAACTAAACTAACAGTAGAAATAAGAATAAATATTTACCATAGCCAACACATTGCATAAAACTTCTTTTGTAGTAAGGAATACAAATTGCTATCACCTTATTTCTATTATAATGTTTTATTTCTTTCCTGGAAAATAAACAAAAAATAAAAACAATATTTCTCTTTTCTTCTTTGGTGCATAATATTTAATTTCCAGTTTATTTATTTTCAGCCGATTTTACACCAATTTTTAATTTTGTCAACTTAATGACTACATCTCAATTACGACGTTTCGGTCATTTCAAGTCTAAATTTTTTTTTTTCAATTTACAATCATATCTAAACTTCACATATTTCAAAATATAAAGATTTTTTATAAAAATAAATACCCATCATTTACCTGTCCATTTCACTTATGCGAATTGCATGCGTCTACTCATAATAAAATGTTTTATTCTTGTCATGTCCATCTTTAATTATTTCATAACATCATTATTACTCAAGTCTACCGATGGGCGGATGTATGTTAATCAATCTTTCGGGCTTATATCTTAATAATCTAATAGATAAGACTATAATTAAATTGGGAAAAAAACCGAACCTTGTTATAAAATACGTGGACGATATACTTACAATAATAATAATAATAATAAGGCTTAGCGAACCCGAAGGTTCGATGCCGACACCACCAATCGCTTGTTACACACCTCCCTCCACCGTTCGCCGTCCAAACCCAGTCCCTTCAGATCGGCCTTAATGCAATCTTCCCACCTTCGCTTCGGTCTACCCCTCGGACGCTTACCATTCGGCACAGCAAATATTAACCTTTTAGAAATTCTCTCGTTACTAAGCCCAACAACTTTACAAGCCCATTTGATTCGCCTCGATGAAATTACCTCAATTATATTATCTGGAGATATACTTACAATAATAAATAAAAATGAATCTATTAATTTTCTTGATAAATTAAATTAAATTCTATATCAGATAAACTTAAATTCACGATGGAAATTGAGAATAATAACAGAATAAGATATCTTGACATGTATATTGACAGAAGCGAAAGTGGTGATCAGAGCACGTCATGGTGGTAAAAACATTAACTAGTAATAGAATCCTAAATTGGCACAGCAACCACAAAAAACATCAAATAATTAATACAGCTAAAAATTTAATAGACAAGGCAAAATTAATAACCGATAAAAATCATATGAAAGAAATCAAAGCACAAATATATGAAATTCTATTAGAAAACTCTATTAAAAAAATTCTATTCATTGACTGGTTATTCTTATAGGAGTAGGGGAAGACTATTTATTATAAACATATACAATGATGTTTCCAAATATTATATGCGGACCTATTTAAAGTAACATTAGCTAATTTCAAATTTTGATTTTTTCAATTGAACTCACGTAAAATGTGTTCATATTATCCACGTCTGTATGATTATTTACCGAGTTTTTTAAGTTTTTAGTTATGTATATTGCTTCCTTTATTCTACGTTTATTAGTATTACTTTCATTATGCAGGATTTTGGCGTTTTTGAAATCAAATTCATGTTTTGTTTGCATAGTATGTTGAGAGAGTCCAGTAGCTAATTTAATTTTTGTGTTTTTTTAATTACAATTTTGTTTGTGTTGTTTAAGCCTTTTTTTAAACCATTGTGATGTCTGTCCAAAATATGATTTGTTGTTGCAATTCTTACAATTTATTTTATAAATAATATTTGTTAATTTATCGGTAGGTACTTTATCTTTAGTTTTGGAATAAATTGTATCTATTTTATTAATTGGTTTGCTAGCAAATTTAATTTCATTTACATCATATTGTTTAAATGTTCTTTCTATTTTATCAGTCAAATTTCTAATATATGTGACGCTAAAATATTTTTTAGGTTGTGTTTGTTTTCATTATATTTTTCATTTTGTGTCTTAATGTCATGTATATCGTTCATGGAAGGTTTTTGTTTTACTGCATTTTCAGTTTTAAAATAATTTGTTATTAAATTTGGTTCTTTATTAAATTAATTATTTTGGTTTACTTTCTCACTCTTATTATCACTAATATCTTTATATCAATAACATATTTTATCTGTTTGTTATTATTGTCATTTTTAACTAACTTTTTATTTTTATACCACAATTTATTTATTAATCTAATGGGATACCAGTTTTCTAATAGAATTTCATATATTTGTGCTTTGATTTCTTTCATATGATTTTTATCGGTTATTAATTTTGCCTTGTCTATTAAATTTTTAGCTGTATTAATTATTTGATGTTTTTTGTGGTTGCTGTGCCAATTTAGGATTCTATTACTAGTTAATGTTTTTACCACCATGACGTGCTCAGATCACCACTTTCGCTTCTGTCAATATACATGTCAAGATATCTTATTCTGTTATTATTCTCAATTTCCATCGTGAATTTAAGTTTATCTGATATAGAATTTAATTTATCAAGAAAATTAATAGATTCATTTTTATTTATTATTGTAAGTATATCGTCCACGTATTTTATAACAAGGTTCGGTTTTTTTCCCAATTTAATTATAGTCTTATCTATTAGATTATTAAGATATAAGCCCGAAAGATTGATTAACATACATCCGCCCATCGGTAGACTTGAGTAATAATGATGTTATGAAATAATTAAAGATGGACATGACAAGAATAAAACATTTTATTATGAGTAGACGCATGCAATTCGCATAAGTGAAATGGACAGGTAAATGATGGGTATTTATTTTTATAAAAAATCTTTATATTTTGAAATATGTGAAGTTTAGATATGATTGTAAATTGAAAAAAAAAAATTTAGACTTGAAATGACCGAAACGTCGTAATTGAGATGTAGTCATTAAGTTGACAAAATTAAAAATTGGTGTAAAATCGGCTGAAAATAAATAAACTGGAAATTAAATAAAATCAATTCAATACATCAAGAAATCAAGAATGAATTATACACACTAATGACAACAGAAGAGAATGTGATTCAGAGATTGATTGATTATTTATTGTCTTAGGGCATTAGGCCGTTTTTTACAAACTAAGATAAAACAATCTAATTAATTAAATTTAAATGTTAGTAAAGCAAAAGAAACAAAATCTGATGCAATACATCAAACAACTTCTACTTACTACACTACCTTACTTTCAGTATTTTTTTTTTTTTTTTAAGTTAATACATCTTGAGTATATTACAGTAAACCTAAAACAGTTAAAACATTTCTGTTGAAAACTTGGATTTTAAATTTCTTACAATTACAATACTTGCCCTTACTGTATACTTCATATATAGATAAGTGAAAGTCATTAGCTTCTTGTCACTGTTTACTACCTTCTATGTTAGACAAACATTTTTATAAAATCTTTAACTTTCCAACAGTATATCATAAATTTATATTATTACTATTATTTCCGGAAATTTGTTTTCAATCAGCAAAAATATTTTTACTTTCTCCTTTAATAATTATCAAAGTCTTTCATAGATCATATTTATCCATTTTGGATTACAACTAACAAGGAGAGACCTTTAATTATTTCTAATAAACAAAATTACAGGTACTTTGGAGGAAGAAATTTTGAAAATTCAACATTTACGTCACATCAGATTATTTCAATGCAAATAAGATCTAACTAATACTAAAGACTTTTCCATTTTTCATTGATAAAATTAATTTAATAAAAATAGTAATATGTTTTTAAGAAAAGAACTGTTTCTGTTTGGTAATGTACTTATACTTTCATTGTTTAATATTTTTTTTTTTTTTTTACAAAATGACATATTTTTCTAAAAAAGGATTTTAGACGAGTTTATTTTTACAAGAAATCCCTTAATAAAAGAAAGAAAAGCAAATTTAGTAAATTATAGAACTTTGGCCCTGTCTTGTTAACTCCATGACTTAATTTAAGGAGGAAAAAAATTGACCAAAAGAAGGAAATTAAATGGTTGTCCACATTGACTGTGGTTGTATTTCTACAGCTGACTCTAGTGTCAAGAAATATTGTCATACGGTCTTGGTGAAAAAACAACTGGAGGTGTCTTCCATCCTTCAGCCAAGGATCATCTTATTTCTTTTTTGGCCTTAAGACTAGTCAACCCCAGTCCTTTTTTACCATTATATTACTTAAATAGTGAAATGAATTAAAATTTAAATTAAAATGCTAAATTTTTTTCTTTTAAAAATTATTCTAATCTACGGGCATTATCTTTATTTATTGATCATATAAAATTAACAATATCGTCTATAGCTTGTGACTCTAAACTTATTCATTTTTACTTTCCTACCTATACTAGGTAAGGAAAGTATTGCGAGTCAAATTTCCAATATGCCGTTTTCGACGGATCTATATGTTTTAGAGCCCCCTGAGTCTGAAAAACACACATAATAACAAAAATAACAATTTTAGAAGTATAATAATAGCAAAAATAATAATAATAACACGATAATTACATTTTCTATAAGTTAAAATAAGTTGTAGTGAGTGGGGGAGTTTTGGGAATGATGGAGGGCCCTCTATGTTCTCTAAATGTCCCCTATAGAAGAAGGGAAGTTGAAGGGGTGGACTCTGACCACCAGCCTTTTAGGGATGATAATGGAATAGTGGAGTATAAGGGACAACTATGCATACCACCGAAAGTCTCAGACATTATACAAGTGATCTGGCTCAAAAAAAATATAAAACAATAAATATTAAAATCATGTTAACACTTTTATTCCGCTGCATTGAACTGAAAGCACTCTTTAACAAAAACCACCCTTCAATTGATCCATTATCATAAATCATAAAATTTAATTGTTTCATGGCCCAATTGACATTATACAATTGCAAAGTGAAAAAAAAAATGAAATTCAATATGTAAATTAATTAAAAAACACTTACTGTGATTTATGACCCAGTTTCATACTAATAATGACTGATTCTGAAGATAATCCATTTGAAATCATATAAGAAATAACCCTGATTTCTCTTGAAACTCTGGGTGGTACAAACCTAAATAAAACAATGAAGAAGTATTAATAGAGCAATTTACTTTTAATGGATAACTTATGAGAAAATATTAATGATAAAACAAACAATAACAGAGGAAAGAATAAAGAAATAGTATAAACAGGGTTCAAATATTCCATAAAAATTTCCTCAACTGAAAGATGATGGAGAAAGAATGGTATTAAAACTAATAGCAAATTATTGAATCCTGGAATGTAAATTTTTCATAAAAACATGTTCACTTATATTTGGGGAGAAGTTGGTTGGGGTGCTCAGTCTTTGCTTAGACCTGATGATGGACTGAAACTTAGGCCGCAACATTGGCTCAAAGGACAAATATAAATATAATTTATTTATTTTTACTTTTACATTTTTATTCATTGAATGAACACCCCAGCCCACTTCTCTTCAAATATCTTCTACAGTCAACTAATATTCATCATCATTTTCAGATATAGCGAGAGACTGGAGCTTCATGCAGGAAAAATCTGAAAAACGTGCGGCAAAAAACTCAAAATTTACAAAAATCATCTATTTGCTTCTTTTATTATATAATACATCAACATTTGATCAAACCTTGCATTAAGTTCCTAGGGTAAAATAATGTATGATGAGAAATTTTTTTTAAAAATAAAAATGTAAGATTGAAAATGAAATTCCTAAAATTTTTTAAGAAATACACTGTAATATTTCAAATTTTTAAAACATTCAAATATTAGTGTTGATGCTGTTAATATATTTTATTATGAGTGACACAGAAGAGCAAGGTAGTGGGGTATTGAAACGGTAAACTAAGGATTGGGCAGAAGCGATGCTGAAGGTAATCCTTTCAAATTAATCTTTAATAAGCTTGAATCTCTAACAAACAAAATACTATTGTTGCGTAAGGAGTTAACTTCTATGGATAAAAGGTTTTATCCATAGAATCCAGAGGTTTTAAATATAAAAAAAAAGAAAATTTGAAATTAAAAAAAGAAGTTGCATTTTTAAGACAACATTTTGCTGCAACTGATCAATACCACCAAAATAACAGAATAAAATAAATTATTATACCTCGAATGGAAGGAGAAGACATTTTGTCTATAATCAAAAATATAAGTAATACTATTAGCTTTCAGTTGGATGAAAAACTAATTATCTCTGTTTACAAAATAAAAACTAACTCAGGTAAAGGGCCGATTGTGGTTAAATTCCTAAGAAATATTGATAAAACTGAATTCCTTAAGTTATATAGATTGAAGAAGAATTTGATTAACACAGAATTGTTTAACATAACCCCAGCATTACAGGTGTTTGTGTCAGAACTGTCATCTCCCTACAGTGCTTGGCTTTTTAAACAGATCAAGTCTAATCAAGAGAAATATAATCTAAAATATGTATGGATGAGGAATAATCGGGTTCTAGCCAGAAAATGGAACTCCTACAATTGTTATTCGTACAGAGGAAGATATCCAAAAAATAGCAGCTAAATTTGGTGACCTTACTTCGGAGAAAGATTATTTTGGTGAGGAAAGGGAAACAGAATCAGATACAAGCAAAGCGAGTAGAAAAGATGGTAATTCACGGAACAAGAGGAAGGTACGGACAGCGGCTAAAGGTGTTTCTTCTCAGAAGTCATTGGACAGTTTTTTACGAAAGTAGAAGAAAACTTAAATTTAAAAAATTGTTTATTAAAAGGTAATTTGTACTTCAAGGAATAAGTTATCTAATGTAGATTCCGAGGTTATCAACTTTTTCCTTCATAATCCTGTTATTTGTCTTTCCGAAACTTTCATAACTAATTCAACATTTAATAAACCAACATGGTTAAAGGATTACACCAAATTTGTTTCAGTAGCTTCTCGAAAATTTAAAGAAAGATCGCCCCAGAGGTGGTCTCATAACTTTGGTAAACAAACATTTTTGTGAGGAAGTGACGGTATTTGATTTTTCTGATAGATGTTTGTTTATCAAAGTTAAGGTACATTCTTTTTCTTTTTTCATTGGAAATGTTTACTGAAGCCTTTTTGTTAATATAAATGATTGCATTATGGATTTGAAAGAACTATTTAACAGAATTAAATCAAAGGATGAAATTAATCAGTATAATATAGTGCTGGGTGTAGACTGGAATGCAAGATTAGGTTCAGGGGATGTAATTGATGAGTTACTTGTGGAAGGTTCATATCTGTCCAGTCACAGAACTAGTTTAGATAATGTTCGTAATGCTAAAGGTAATAAATTAATTAATTATTTTGAAGAATATGGTTTAATATTATTAAATGGTAGGACTCCTAGCAATATACCTGGTCAGTTTACGGATATTACAGCTAGAGGGTGTAGTGTTGTAGATATTGTTTAGATATCCCCGACTATGATTGATTTCATTCAAGATTTAAAAGTTTGGGAAGTTTCAGAGCTAAGTTGTGGGAAGTTTCAGAGCTGATTTGTCATTTGCCTGTGATTGTTAATTTAAATAAGTTAAATAAAGAAACAGCGAAAATTAAGGTGAAGAAAAAAGAAAAGTAATATTTAGATTTAGATGAAAAAAATATAAATTCCTACCAGGTATTGGTTTCAAACACAAATAACATTTACTTTAATTTTAGTTCAGTGAATGCTTTGTATAAAAATATGACTGACTGTTTTTTGAACTGTGCACTTGAATCTGGACTTCTCAAGCGAAAATTTTTTGTTTATCACCGTAAAACTTTTCTCTGGTTTGGTGGGGAGTGCAGGGAAGCAAAAAAACTTTTTAGGAAATGTTTTAAAACATTAAAGCGTGAAGATTATTCACAGGAAAATGTAAATGTTTTTATCGATAGTAAAAAACAATACAAACAAAGTAACTGCAGAAAAACAAATATTGTGATTGCCTTTTAGACTCATTATCAGATGACAAAGACATTAAATTGTTTTGGCAAACTGTAAAACATTTTAATAGACCGAATACGGTTGAAGTTGCAGTTTCTACTGAACAATTCATCTCATTTTATAAAGAATTTTAAGCTGGAAAGGATTCAACTCTGACTTTATATTCATTCACTAACTCTGTTTTAGAATAAGATAATCCTATAAATTTGGACAAACTTCAAAAAGCAATTAAAAAAGCCAAATTGAAAAAAGCATCTGGCACCGATCAGTTGCCGTTTGAAGTTTATAAACTTATGCCTCCGAATTGGGAACACTACCTCCTTAACCTTTTTTTTATGTTTTTCAAAATACGATTGTTCCGGAAAAATGGGGTGAAATTTTCCTACTCCATTTATATAAAAAAGGTGATACTAAAGACCCCACTAATTACAGAGGAATAGCACTAATAAACTGTATTGTTAAACTGTTTACAACTATTCTAGCTGATAGAATTACTCAATGGGCGGAAAATCATAACTTGATTCCAGAAGAACAAAATGGTTTTAGGGTGGGTAGAGGCTGCATTGATAATATTTTGACTTTAAATTTCGTAATAAATATTTCAATGGGCTACAAAGGCAACAAGGTATTTGCAACATTTGTTGACTTTAAGCGAGCATTTGATTCATTGGATTATACAAAATTGTGGCAAAAACTTCATAGTCTCGGATTGAGTTCTAAAATAATAAACATTTTACGAGAATTATACAAACAAGCTACTATAATTATAAAGGATGAACTTAACATGGAATCAGTTAAAATCAGTCAAGGAGTATTCCCTACTAAGGGAGATTCCCTCAGTCCTCTAATATTTTCATTATTCATTTCAGATATAATTTATCATTTTAAAAATGATGGATGTACTGAAATAAATATTGACCATACAACAGAAATATCCGGACTGATATTTGCGGATGATTTAGTTTTACTTAATAATGGTTGAGTCAGAACAAATAAGAAATTAGTTTCCCTGCACAAGTTTTGTCAATTGTCAATGTTGAAAAGACAAAATGTGTGATTTTCAAAAAAGGTGGTAATATGAATAAAGTTAAATCTTTCTTCTATAACAAATTTCAAATTGATATAATTAAACAGTATAATTATTTATACTGTTTTTTATCATCGCGTTTATTATCTCAGGCAGCAGACAATTTCGTCAAAAAATCACAGTTGGCTTCATATTGAGTTTGGGAAATCTTGTTGAGGTGAATATTAGATTCTCTCGATACCAAATTTAAATTGTTAAATTCCATGGTGAATTCCGTTCTTTTGTACTCAGCGGAGGTTTGGGCTCCATTATACTGTCACAAAATAGATAGAGCACGTTGCTTTGAGTTATTTTAAAAGAATACATCATTGGCCACGTAATACCCCTAATCATTATGTGTATGTAGAAACGGGTCTAGAATCATTAGAAATAAGTGTTCTTAAAAGAATGATTCGCTAGTACCGAAAAGTAGACCTAATGGAAGATAAACGATTACCAAAACTGTTCACAAATTTTAAAAAACATTCTTCTATTTAATTAACACAAAGTATAATTGGTATTCACGATTGACAAACAGGTTGAGAGCCATAGACTCGGTTGAATTATTGAACATTAAAAATAAAGAATTATTTGAAGAAGAATTTCAAAACATTATTGAAAAATTAAAATGTAATAAATTTTCCCTCAATATTCAATCCATATTGAACTCACAATTTAATCAAAACTTTAGAAAAAATAGTAGCTTGACTAAGAGAGAATATTATCTAGAACTTAAAGAGCCCAATAAAAAAGCACAGAATGATTAGCCAATTAAGACTGTGCCAGCCGTAGAACTTAAAGATTACTTCTTACGGCTTTCAAAATAGTTTTCTAGATGGAAGTGCTGAATATCCCATTTGTAATACACGTGAAACGAAGATTTTCTGTTGCATTGCCCTACATATGCAGCTTTTAGATATAAGTATTTAAATGAATATATTGATGGTAATTGTGACGATAAAGATCAAATAGTACAGTTATTAGATATAGAAAACAAATATAAATTCAATGATTTATACTGGATACTGGTATGTAGAAAGTTCTTTAAAATTAAGAAACCTGTTTTTGTCTGTTCAAGAATAAATAGTTTCATCTATTCTTAATGTTAATTAAGTTTAAGGTTATATGTAAAGATAATATTAGGACTAAATATTATATTTTAATATGCTAAAGAAAGATCATTTTGTTTATAGTTATATCAAACACACTAATTTTATTTTGTAAATCATATAATATTATAAATGGTTTTTACTATTAATGTAGTTAATTAGGTATCATATTTATGTATATTTTTATAAATGTATAAGTATAAAACTCAACTCCATTTGTATGGGTTTGCCCGAAAACAAATAAAAAAATTTATTTATTATTTTATATATTTAAGAAGTACACTGTAATATTTCAAATTTTTAGGCATTCAAATATTAGTATTGATGCTGTTTCTTTAGGTCACTAACAAAATATTCTAAAAAAAAAATTTGATTCTCTAAAAGAAGTGTTTGTTCTTGCCTGTTCTACAATAAGCATATATCTATGTTTTCTATCATACCCAATTTATTTTTCACAGTGAGTACAGAAGATAACTTTCCCATTAAATTTCAACACAGGGTAATTTTTGATATCTAGATTTTAATTTTTGAAGAGAGACCAAATACTACTTTAATTTTTAATAATAATGAAATTACTACAATTCACTTCAAAGCCAGAGGGATACTGATGAGTTGAAGAATGAGTGATAATTCAAGTCAAAACAATAACAATAAATGTCTTGCTAACAAAACAACTTATTATAGGAAAGCAATTTTTTATTGCTATATATTTTAGGCAAATCTATTCCAAGAATATTTTCTGCTTGTATTTACTTCTTCGTTTTGTACAATAAATTCGATACATTGTTAGTAATAGAATTATTTACCTACATCATATATTTCTACCTTAAATTATAAATTTCTAATTTTTAATTAATTATTTTTTAAATAGTAAAATAAGAAGGTGATTATTTACACATGCATGCATATTGATAGTTACAAATCATCTCAATCTAGCACAAAAATGAGCGGTTCGGTTCAACAAAATCAAAATTGTGCAATTTAGGGCAAAAACAACAAAACCTGCAATATCAAATTTCAATGTTATTTTACAGAATGTGAAATGGTTAGATTGTTAGGTTTGAAGTTTTTATATGCAAGGGAATAGAATAACATGGAAATCCTGTCTCTAGTTATAATATACAGTTCCTTTTACTAAACCTTTAGTTCACAGAGCTGCATTGTAGCTCTTTTAAAGAACTATGGATTTAGGACATTTCTGGATTCAGAAAACATTATTATCATAATGATCTTGTTTCTTAAAAATGTCTGCAAGAAATGAGCCTGGACATTTTATAGGTTTTTATTCAAAAAGTAATTTTTGTATTTTATGAGGTTTAATAATCTCACAAAATACAGCATATTAAAATTTGCATTGTCATTGTTTTTAATTATATCTCAGCAAAATGATTTCCACGTTTTTTACTAAAACAAATGTAGTAAATTAATAAATTTTCCATACAAATTTTGCTCTTTCATTTTTCTCAGGAATAAAACCTGGGGTCCTCCCCTTCACATATATTTCCACCTTAAATTATAAATTTCTAATTATAACAATAGAGCTCATTTAAAAACAATAGAAAAAAAAATAATTGAAGAGAAGTTGGTTGGGTGTTTAATCGAAATACAAATTAAAAATAAATAAATAATATTTATTTTTGCCTACATTTCAGCCTAAAGCTTAGGCCTTCATCGAAGCTGATCTCACGAAAGATTCCCTTAAAATGTTCGTTTTGAAGACCTGAACTTTGAGCTAAAACATCAGCAGAAATAAAAATCAATATTATTTATTTATTTTTACTGAACACCCCAACCAACTTCTCTTCAGTTATTCACTACAGTCAACCATCAATCCACTATTATGAAAAAAATTAATGAGCAACAATAAATAATTTAATGAATGTCAACAAGAAAAGCCTACCCATAGCATTAGTTGTGAATTCAAAGAAAAATGAACGACAATAGTTATGAGGGTACACATCACAAATTGATAAGGGTGAATTGATGTTTTGACATTCCTAGAACGCTTTTGGAATTTCCTTTAATTTACCAATTATAAAATTTAACAATTGTATTAAATATAGTTTATTGTAATGTTTTACCTTCATGGTGGATTTTTAATGAATAAATATTATAAGGTAAATACTTTTTTTTTTTTTTTGCAAAAATATAACAGTTGGAAGTATAAAGATGTATGATAACATAAATTAAAATAAATTGAAGAATGGAAATGCAAAAGGATTTTAAGTGCCTCCAGCAAAATTGAAATCATATATTTTTTAATGTATCTTATTACTGAAAGAATTCATTTTCATTTAGTTATAAATTATGAAACCCTATCAATATGATCTTTTATTTTTTTCAGTGAAACATCACCCATAATAACCACTCCTTGGAGCTTTTAAATTAAATTAATTAAAAATTAAATGTTTTTGTAAATGAAGATGTAAAAGAATTATGTAAAATAATAATAAATGGAAGTGTTGAATTTATAACTAAAATTCTATCTGCTTCTTTTTTTCAGATTACAGGTTTATTTACCCAGTTCATCCTATTATAGATATGTGATTTTATACAATGATACTTATACAAGATATGCGATACTTATACAATCAAGAGTGATCGGGAAAAAAACTGTTTATATTTAATTAAATTATACAACTCTAATATTATTAAAGTTCAAACTCAGATGCTGAAAATTTTGTAGAACGCGCTCAGGCCCCTTTGCATTACCATCCTAACTTCTGAAATAACTTACACAGGATTTTTCAATTTTTGAGCAGTTACTGATATTAATGAATAATTGTCTGCAATTCGAAAATCACAGTCAAATAATGAAAATGAATTATGTAGAACTGAACACTCGAGCATTTCATGTATATTTTCTGGAGTCAATGGAAGAATGTTCAAATTTGGTTCCGTTGAACTATTAATCTGGAGAACGTGTGTTGGATTAAATAAAAAATTTGTTTTTGCAATCAGTGGCAGACCAAAACCTGTAAAAAATATGACAAATAACATAATATTTTTATCTTAAATGCAGAGTTCTTGCCCACTAAGCTAAAATAATAGTCTAAAGGACGGGTTTAGGAACCCTGCCTTGTGTGAGCATGTGGAGGAGAGTTGCGGGATCCATGGAACCAAGACCCATGGGTTGCAGGGGTCCTCGAAAAATAGTAAGATTTTATAATCAAAGTTTTATAGGTTGTTAAAAATTAAACATAAATATCATTAGGATGAATAAAATTGTCAGGATTTACAGTCAAGAATTTTTATTAGGATAACGGAGTATTGTATATTAAAAGTAAGAATTAAAAAACGAGTAATTAGTGCAAATAACAAGAATAAAAACAATTAAATAAATAAGAAGTGTGCATTAAACAACGCATGTAAATAAAAATAAATATATATATATATATATATATATATATATATATTTATTATATATATATATATATATATAAATATATATATATATATATTATATATATATTTATATATATATATATTATATTTATTTATAATATATATAAATATATATTAGATCTGTAAAGTTTTTAATTGTTCCAGTCATCATAGAAATTATTTTTACTAAGATATTGTAGAGAAGAAGCTCAAAATTATTCCTACGATGTTAAAAATTCTTTTATTTTACTGGAACAATTAAAAACTTTACAGATACCTAACTTTATTTTAGCCTCATTTGATGCCAAAAGTCTTTTCACTAATATCTCTACTGACCATGTAAAACCACATACTTCACTCAATCAATCCTCATATCTTCAATTCCTCTTTTTATGCTGTAACTCTGGTTACCTTTGTTTCCAAAATCAGTTTTTTTATCAAACTTCTGGTCTCGCAACTGACCTTTCTAGTATTGTCCGCAACAATCTCCTTGACTCCATACTACCTCTCTTTCCTAATGACATCTTATTCATTAAAAAATACGTGGACGACCTAATGTTAATCCTTAACCCAAATGTGATTTCAGATATACTTAAGGCTTTCAATTCCTATCACCCACGACTTTATTTGTTGAAAGGGAAAGAAAGAGCTCACTTCCCTTCCTTGATCTCCTTATTACCATAAATCCTGAGCACTCTATTTTGACTAATTGGTATACTAAATCAACATATTCTGGCTGCTTCCTAAATTATTATTCCGAACACCCTTACCACCAAAAAATTAACGTAGCCAAAACTTCCTAAACCGCAGTTTGGCCTTATCTGATTCTCAATTTCATAATCATAACAAAACCCTTTTACACAAGATCCTAAAATCTAATGATTTTCCAGACAACCTTATCAAACCTTTAATTATCAGTTCCCCTATATCCCACTCTTCTCAAACTAATTCCTCACAAACTTATCCAACCCCTTTATAATACAGATTAATTCCATCCATTCCTACCTTTTCCAATAAAATTAAAAAATCCTTTTCTTCCGCTTTTCCTAACATACGCCTTATTTTCAAAAACAATTACAAATTTAAAACCTTATACAGCAACCTAAAAGAGCCCATACCTCTCCTACAAAATTCCAATCTAGTTTACCGCATCCCTTGCTCTATTCCCAATTTTAATTCTTGTTATATTGGCGAGATCAAAAATTACCTTAAAAAACATATAACACAACATAAATATAATATTTAATCCCGGAACACATTTGCTTCAAAACTGTCTGAACATACCGTATCCCTTGACCATTCCTTTGATTTTGACAACCCATCCGTCCTCGCTACGGTTACTAACCATGAAAAACGCCTCCTCACAGAATCGATATTTATCCACCTTCAAAAAAACAATCCCGTTCACCATAAAGTAGATAAAGAGACAATTTCATCAACCTACTCCAACATATTCCGCCTTCTAAAATTGAAACATTTAGTTTTAACTCTTTTCATGTTCAATTATATTTCTGTAGATTAACACATACCATCAACCTTTATGTTCAAATGTTTTAAAAAAAATCTTTTTGATTATTGAAAAAAATCATCTGTAATGTATTAGTTATTATATATGTATATATTAGTTTTTACATTATTCATAAGTTATAGTTTATGTACCAGTTAGATCCATTCTTACCTAATTAAATATTTTTAATACTTACTATCTGTTAACATATTTATTGTGTTTTGACATATTTTTAATATTTCAGTTAAATAGCCATTAAATGACCGTTACTCTACTGCATCACTTTTTTTTTTTTTTCTTCTCACCTCCCACCTAAACTGATTTCCACAAACCCTCAGTTCTAATCCCAACTCCCAAAAGATAGGTAACTATTAAGAAATAATTTACATATATATATATATATATATATATATATATATATATATATATATATATATATTAACATAATGTTTGCAAAATAGGACTTGCTTTTACAAGTCTTAAAGCCAAAAAAGAACAAAAAAAAAAAATTATTTAAATTGGGAATTAGGTCACTTAATTAGAGAGAAATAATTTATTTAAAGCAGTACTGCCCAACTATATTGGGTTGCTGAATACACAGCATACTCATCAATCCTTTTTTTTGGCCATAGCACTTAATTATACTTAAATCAAATATTTATATATATATACAAACTCTTTTCCTCCATTTCTATATCACTCATATACAATTTTAATACTATACTATACCAACATAATACCTATTATAAAATATATATATTTCGGTAAAATCAATACAAAACAAACTCTGAAGCTAATAGAAAAAAAAAAGGAGATTCAAATGTCAAATTCCAAAATTAGAATTCACAAATACCAAGTAACATAATCCTATGAACACAGATAAAAAGATATGATTAGTTAAAATATTTAAAATTGAATAAATAAATAAATGATCCCAAGGGAGTCCAGCATAATGCTCTCGGCAAACACTGCAAGCTCCCTGATATCAACACCTAGTTCCTCAAAGAAGCTTCCTGTTCTTTTAGAAATCGTTCCGCGAGGCCCAAACCAGAGGCTTTTCACGATGAACTCTCTCTCTCCGAAGGTCTCCCAGAATTTCTCTTTTAGGAAACGGATACATTTACTATATATTTTCTTCTTTTCTTTTTCTACTTCACTTGCCTGATCGAGGTCATTACTCTCATAGTGAAAAATTGGATCTAAGACCAGCGCTGCCTTTCCATTCCTGGAGAATACAACTATATCCGCATGTCTCGTTGAGCCATCACTATCGATATAATAGACCTCGTCGAAGCAAGTGAATTCCCTTTCCCTAAGGAGCCTCACCAAATTGAATTTGACCCTATTGTGCCGGCGTGTTATGAGGAGGGAGTTGTTGGGGCATTTTCTCAGAGCATGGGCTGGTGTTTCAGACTCTCTGCCGCATTTAGGACAGAGGGACCCAATTTCCTTCGACTGTCCACTGGCTCCTGGAACTCCATGCAACGGTGCATAGTTGATGTTGAGTTTTATGGGATTGGACCATTCTGAAAGTACTTGTTTCTGGCATATATATTTACTATATCTCGGACAGTCGCTACATTGGACAGTCGCTGAGCAATGGACCAATGTTGCAAAGGAGTCTCCCATTGACAACGGATCAGTCCCAATCATCAATACTTGGTGCATATAACCTCACTGATGATGTATAAGCGGGGAGCCTTGATACTCCTGCAGATATTTACATCAATTCCCTCCAATAACGCAGGATGTATCTTTGTAAAGGGGCAATGTCTGGAGAGGGTAGGCAAGTCTCGGGAACACATATTGATTGACAACATTGATCTTTTGCTCCGATTTAAGAAGGCAAGAGCTCAAGCGTTCATTCAGTTATCAGTCATTCAAGTAAATTTTTTTAACTTTTTCTCATTTATCACTAGCTCTCCCGAGAATGTGGATCCTAAATATTTTAAAGTATCATCTGCCTTTAATGTGTGGATGACTTCTCCATTCTCAAGGGAGAGCTTTGTTTATTGCAGCTCTCTTTTATCAATTATTAGGCCCACGCTTTTCTTCTGTACACAGATCCTCTGTACACAGTTAAATATCCTTTCTGCAGCACCCTTGCCGCGTGCTGTGATAGTCTGGACATCCGCGAAGCCTATGAGGACCACACATTCTTGATCACTGGTTAGCTTGTATCCATAATGCTTGGAAAAGTCTTTCTCACACAGGTTGCAATATAGATGGTCTATAGCCAGGTTGAACAGTGAAGGCGACAAGGATCCGCCTTGGGGTGCTCCCCGCCACACTTTGATCCAGCTTGTCGAGTGGGCTCCGACTTCAATCTTAATTAAGTTAGTACCCAGGAGAACCGCAATCACGTTTTTCAAGTCTGGTGAGACTCCTATTGCCTCCAGTGAGCTGATGATATAGTCCTCAGCATCATTCTTTTTATGTTTGGCATCCTTTATGATCGCCTTCATGATTCTTGCATTGCCATGTGTTCCTGGTAGTCCCCTGATGAAACCTCTCTGCGCACAATCAAATGGATGGTAATGGGTCGTCATGATGATATGCTGTTGGCATCACCCTTTTCCTTGTAGACCAAGATTCATGATCTCTGGAATTATCTTAATTATATGAGAAACATCATAATACTTTATCGTGCAGATGAAAACTTTGTCTGGCCCCAGCGATATGTCCAGCAATGTTGATTTTATTACCTTAACGTTAAAAATAAATAAATAATTAAAAAAATATATACCCAGATAAAAAAATGTTAGTAAATTAAAACTAAATAAATAGTTTAAACATATATACAAAGGTTCATTAATGTCAGTACATTCAAATTTAAAAAATAGATTAAAAATATATACATGGATTAATTAAAGTGAATAAGTTAAAATTATATAAATAGATTTAAAAACATTTTTAAATACATAAATAGATGATGTATATAGCATTTCCAAGTCAATTTCAACCTTTTCCAAGTCAAATTCAACCTTTTCCAAATCAAATTAAACTTTTTCCAAGTCAAATTCAACCTTTTCCATTTCAAATTAAACCTTTTCCATTTCAAATTCAACCTTTTTTTATTTATTT